CCAGACACTTTTACAAACTTTTCTCCACTAACCTCCTCTTTTCCACCTTGCTCCTGTCTGCGATCCTCTTCAGTAGTGTCCCTGCTACCATCTCCTATGATCGCCAGACTCTTTTGTCCTTCCGTTCATTCACCATCGCCCAAGACGCACCGAGGACGTACTTCCCTGTTTGTTTACCTGTGCGGCGCACTGGCCCGGAGCCAAACGACGGTCCCGACCTGCCTGCCTCCGGCTATGTTTATCCGGTCCCGGGAAAACATCGGAGGAAAATAGGTAAACGAGCTGGAATCCAGGTGAGAATAAGACTTCTCTTAAAGCGTGGTTTATCTGGTAAACCTCGGCGCGAACTTCTAGCTTCTTGTCCTTTGTTGGGTGACCTGAGCACCACTTCCGCATTCCCACCAGGCCGCATTGCAGCGCGGTTCATCCATCCAAGTTTTTAAGGTCGGTTTATCCTCATTCCTCAGTGGTTTCTCCTCCTGTTCCTTCCATAAGTGGTTTTTATAAACACCGTGGATCTAACCCTGCTAATTTACGTCCATTAACTCCAGCTGTTTCTGTAGTTTCTGATTCCTCCACCTCACTCAGCATGGCTCTATTAAATACCCGCTCTGTTAACAATAAGTCCTTCCTGCTCAATGATCTAATTCTCTCTAAAAACCTGGATTTTCTGTTTCTGACTGAAGTTTGGCAGAAAACATCTGATTATTCTGGTCTGATTGAACTCTGCCCGAGTGGTTATTCTTTTCTTAGCCAGCCCCGGGGTTCTGGTCGTGGTGGAGGCCTAGCTGTTGTTTTCAGAGACCATCTTCCATGTAGCTCTACAACCTCTTGACACTTTGGTTCCTTTGAACTGCAGCTGATTAAAGTCGGGCGTAAGGACCCGTTCTACTGTGCTGTGGTCTATCGTCCACCTGGTCCAAACGGTTCTTTCCTTCAGGAGTTTAGTGACTTTCTATCCTCCACTGTGAAGCTGTCCAGACTGGTGATTGTTGGTGACTTTAACATCCACGTTGATGATCCCTCCGATCTCTTTGCCATGAATTTCTCCAGCCTCATGGCCACCTTCGGCTTTACCCAGCATGTTTCTGGCCACACACACCAGGGGGCACACTCTAGACCTTGTTTTTACCCTGAGTCTAAATGTTGATAGTGTTTGTCCTGAGGACGTTTATATTTCTGATCACCATTGCATTTTCTTTAACTTGTCAGTTTCTGCGTCCCCACCTCCTGCTCGCCGTATGGTTAGTTCTCGTTTTCTTAATGAGAGCACAGCTAGCAATTTTTCTGCTGCATTTGATCCACCCTGTTCTTCTGATAACGACCCAGATTCCTTAACTTCTCAGTTCAACGAGCACTGCCTCTCCATTCTGGACAACATCTGTCCTGTCAGAACCAGATCAGTTCCTGCAGTGAACCCTACTCCCTGGTTTAATGACAGCCTTTGCAGCCTGAAGCGCCAATGCAGAAAAATTGAGCGCTTGTGGAAGAAAACCCATCTCCACGTCCATCTGCTGCACCTAAAGGATCTTCTGACATCCTTTAACTCTGCAATCAGAGATGCTAGGGTTTCCTATTTCTCCAACCTGGTGTCCCAGAGCAAAGGGAACCCCAAGGTGCTGTTTAACACCATCAGCAGCATCATCTCTCCTGCCTCTCCTACAGCCTCCATCCACTCTGTTACAGACTGTGAGAACTTTCTGTCTTTCTTTGTGGACAAAGTCAATAAGGTTAGATCTAGCATCTCTCCTTCAGCCTTATCGCTGCCTCTCCCATCTCCAACCAGGCCCATCATCCTAGATAGCTTTGCTCCTGTTTCTTTGCCTGAGCAAACCAAACTAGTTAACTCTATGAAGACCTCTGCATGCCCCCTCGACATCTTACCCTCATCTTTGTTTAAAAGTGCTTTTCAGTCCATCGGTCCCAGCGTGCTCTCTATAATTAATGCTTCTCTGGTTTCTGGTCAGGTCCCTGCTTACTTTAAGAACGCTGTAATCCACCCGCTTCTTAAAAACCGAGTCTTGACCCCTCTCTCCATAGCAGCTTCAGACCCATCTCTAAACTTCCGTTCATCTCCAAGATCTTGGAAAAGGTTGAGGCTAAACAACTCACAGCTGCTCTTGATGAACAGAACATCTATGATTGCTTCCAGTCAGGTTTTCGTAGAGCTCATTCTACTGAAACAGCTCTTCTTAGGGTCTCTAATGACCTTCTGACTCACAGTGATGCAGGGGACTGATCTGTTCTGGTCCTGCTGGTCCTGACTGCAGCCTTTGACACTGTTGACCATCACCTGCTACTGGAGGGGCTGAGAGACTGGGTAGGCCTATCAGGATCTGCTCTGGAGTGGTTCTCCTCTTATCTCTCTGAGTGCTCCTTTTCTGTGGCCGTCTCCAAGTTTAGGTCCTCCACCACCTCCCTTACCCATGGTGTCCCACAAGGTCTGTGCTTGGGCCACTGCTCTTCCTCCTCTATCTGCTTCCTCTTCAGCACATCCTGAGCTCCTTCAAAGGAATATCATACCATCTTTATGCAGATGACATCCAACTGTACATCTCCTTTAAGCCCCTTGAGATGTCTAAGCTGCAGCTGTTACACACCTGCTTAGACTCTATCAAAACCTGGATGGCTGGGAGCTTTCTTCAGCTGAATGAAGACTTGGATCCTCATCTGTTCCCCAGACAAGCTGATTCCCAAAGTCAGAGACTCTCTTGGTCAACTTGCTTCTCACATCAAACCTTCTGTCAGGAACCTTCGTGTGACCTTTGACCCAGCTCTCACCCTAGATTCTCATGTCAGTTCTCTTGTCGCTCTTCCTTCTTCCATCTCAGGAACATTGCTTAGCTGAGTCCCATTCTGTCTCGCTCTGAACTTGAGACAGTTCTCCACACCTTCATCTCCTCACGCTTAGACTACTGTAACTCTCTTTTCACGTGTCTGAGCAGAACCTCCTGAACCGTCTACAGGTGGTTCAGAATGCCTGTGCTCGGCTTCTGACCAAGTCCTCCAAACACACCCACATCATCCTGTTTCTCCTCCAGCTTCACTGGCTGCCAGTCAACTTCAGGGTTCATTTCAAGATCCTGGTTCTGGTCTATAGGGCCTTACATGGACAAGCACCATCTTACATTGGTGATCTTCTTAGTCCCTACACCCCCAGCAGGTCCCTGAGGTCCAGTGATCAAAGCCTACTGGTTGTGCAGCACCAGGCTAAAGACCAAAGGTGACAGATCATTTGCTGCTGTGTTCCCCAGACTCTGGAACTCTCTCCCCCTGAGCCTGAGATCAGTGGACTCAGTGGTCTCCTTCAAAAAGCAGCTGAAGACTCACTTGTTCAAGCTGGCTTTTGTATGACCTTCTTCACCACTCTCTCTTTATTCTGCTCTCCCCACCTATTCCACCTTCCTCAGGATCCACTGATTTCCCTATTTCCAATTATCTCTCTCTTTCTTAACATTTTTTTAATCACAATTGTCTATTTTTGCTCATTTTAAATATATTTTTAAACATTTTCTAAATGCTTTTTTATATTTTTACATTTTTTGTTTTTGTGAAGCGCCTCGTGATTTTTATCTTGAGGCGCTATAGAAATGATATTTTCTTCTTCTTCTTCTTCTAGAGCATGGCCACGATGTATCCCAAACGTGTGGACACAGGGGGAGGTGGTGAATGCCAGTATAAATGAAAATCAAAGCTTTGACGCCACCTGGGCCATACGTCATTAGTTATTTACCATCCGACGACTAAATTTACCGCCAATGGCGCTCAGGCGGTTTAAGTTTCCACACCTGTTAACTGCTCTTTAATGTCAGGAGTTTTTCCTAAACCACTGAAAACTGCTGCTGTTAAACCCTTTCTAAAGAAACTAGATTCCTCAGTGTTGAGCAACTACCGACCGATCTCTAATCTCCCTCTGATTACAAAATTATCAAGAAAGCAGTAATTATCTAAATAAACAAATTTCTGGAGTCAAATAACATTATGGGTGGTTTTCAGTCAGGCCTTAAACAGCACCACAGTACTGAGACTGCACTGATCAAGGTATTAAATGACATTTGTCTAAACATTGACACAGGTAAAGCATCTGTCCTAATGATGCTCGACCTCAGTGCAGCTTTCAATACTGTGGACCATAACATACTCAGTGGCAGACTCACAAACTGGGTGGGACTATCTGGTACAGTGCTTGCCTGGTCCCAATCATATCTGAAAGGCAGGGGCTATGTTGTCTCTATTAGGGATTGCCAATCAAAGCGGATCACCATGATATGTGGGGTCCCCCAAGGCTCAGTTCTATATGCTCCCCCTAGGTCAGGTCATACTTAATAACAACATTGCCCATATAGCTATGCTCATCCCAGAGGCTTCTTCCAGACTTTGGTTGTGGTCAGAAACAAACACACTGGTTGTGCTGCAAGTATTTTTCTTTTTTCTCCCAAACATGCTTTTGTCTAAATGAAGGTGATGTTATTGTTCACAGAATTAAAATTCATGTTGAAGTTAAAATTATTTCATCAAGTAAGACCTGTGGTTAGCTGGCTCATGTAAAACATGTCATGTCTTGAAAGAATCGGAATTGGGAATCGATAGGAACCAGAATCAAAACAAGGAATTGGAATTGGAATCGGAATCGTTCAAAATCAAACGATGCCCAACCCTAGACCCAACTCTAGTGTTGTTTAAATCAAACTAAAAACCTTAATGTACTCATCAGCCTTTAAATGAATTGTTTCCTATGCTGCATCGTCTCCACCGTAATCTGTGATGTAATTGCTCAACCTTAATTCTGTCTTTTTCTTTTAGCTCTAAATTATAATTTTATCTGTGTATACTTTTAATTTGTGTTCTCATGTTTATTGTTGTGCCATTTCATGCTAATTGTAAAGCACATTGAATTGCCCTGTGTTTGAATGTGCTCAATAATAAAGCTGCCTTGCCTTGCCTAAACTGAACTATAAAGTCTCATGTGATATCAGGTACAACAGAGAGAGAAAACTCACTTTGAAATCTGACTGATATCCTCGCAGGAGAAAGGAAGCAGGAGCTTGAAGCGACCCAGTTTGTTCCCAGTACACCAGTCCAGCACCAGCTTTCGAACCACCGTACTCTTGCCCGTTCCCACAGCCCCATACAGAAGCACGTTGAGCCCCCGGCCATCAGCCTGGGTGTTGTTATCACCAAACAGCTGCTCCACAGTCACTGGATGGCCAGAGTAAGCCTTAGACTGGTAAGGAGATCGGAGCAGTCCTGCTCTCTCGTCTTCCTTTCTCTCTATGATCAGTGGATCCACGTGCATGGACTCTGGACTGAGGACACCTCCAAACAGTTTTTCCTCCTTAGGAAGGTGGCTGAACCACAGCAAGAGCTTCCTCTTGTGGATTTCTATGGGATCTGCAGAAAAAAAGAAAAAAATATCAATATTTGCTCTTTTGTTTTACCTACAGAATAAAGTTTCCCTCTGTTGTTAGGTAAATGTCATATCTGAACCAGTCCTCAAGAATCAACCAGATAACTCCTCAAACACTCAACTAGCATAAAGAGCATGCTCACTGTGTCTGCACGAGAAAAAGCAATACTAAGAGTTTTTAAAGGAGACAAAAAGAAAACTTTTTTAGTTGAGAAGAGGTTTTTGTATTTTATCCAGGTCAAACTGAAAGGTACACAAGTCTGAGTTAAATTCAAGCTAACTCACATGCTAGCCTGGCCTGCCAGACTCGTCCTCTGTTTAAATCTGCACAAAGAGTCTGGTTACTCACAGGCAGAGAGGCACGTGAAGGGCGGAACTAGGCAGCTCAAAAATAACCAATCAGGAAAAAAAGACGGAAATGCCGACTGTACCGCGCGGCGCTGTAGTTTCTTAGCTGTAGTCAAAAATGGCGTCTGGCGACAGCACAAACATCTTTCTTTAGAAGAAAGGCTTTTAGCGCTTCTACTTGTTGTGGTTTTAAAGACATTCAAGTCATTTAGAACAGAGGAAAGAGTCGCAGCGACCTCTGCTTCAGTCGCCATGTTTATGACAAACTCTGCGTTGTGGTGTGTGACGTACGCTACTCAGCGCTGATTGGCTCAGTTAGAATTCTCAGGGGGTGGGGTTATTTGAATAGGAGAGTTCCCAGACTCTTTCTCTGTGCAGAATTAAACAGAGGAGGAGTCTGGCAGGCCAGGCTACTCACATGCGCCTTCCTAAGTGGCCATCAGGGGCTTCGATGACCTGTGTGTTATTTATTTAGGTCTTTTGTTTTGCGTTGGGGCCACAAAGGAAGTGGTCCAACTCAAAAATTACCTAGACCAGTGTCCCCAACTCCCTTCCCTGAGGGCCGGTATCCAGCATGTTACGCTGTTTCCCTAATCCAACACACTTGATTCACCTGTTCAGCAGCTCCCCACGCCCTGCGGAGGCCTGTTAATCACCAGCTGAAAATCAAGCATATTTAAGAAAGGAAAAAGGGTCAAACATGTTGAATACTGGCCCTCAGGGAAGGGAGGTGGGGATCACTGACCTAGAGCCTTTGAACCTGGACTAGATTACTGTAATAGTGGAAACTGTAAAGCATTGTTTGTAATTTGTGAAACTCTATTAAATCTGACTGTCCTGTTTCTTGATTTGTGGACGAGTGTTTTGCTTTTATTTTACAAATGTGCCAATGAAACTGTTCAAATGGACTGAAGTGAAACTAATCTTGCCTGGACGAACTGATCTCAGTACCCCTGAACCCCTGATGCTAAAACCAACCCTGTATTTGCGCTAATTATTGTCAAAACACTGCACAGCTTTAACTTGGCTCCAGATTAGACAGGAGAAGTGACAGAGGTGAGTACCTGGGTCTGCTGGAATGGAGCTGAAGGTCTTGCAGTGAAAGCAGGAGGCTGGAGAAACCATCTCCACTCTCCTCGTCCACCTCCATAATGTGAGCAGATGACCTGGCTGGCTGAAAAACACAATGCATCACATCATTTCAGTCAGTCGTGACTGACTTCTCTACTTTGCTCTAGATTCTGATTCATACTGAATTTAAAAGATTTGTACATATTCTGTGTTGGTTCGAAATTAAAACAGGCTCCTCACCTTCATTTTACTTAAACTCAGATTACAGAGTAACCTTTTTTCTCCTGTGAAGCAATCCGAATGTCACATGTCTGAGTACCAAAAGCAAGCCTTAAGTTTTAAGCCTGCTATAAAAATGTTATTACAATTGCTTTGGTTTAATATTAACCGTAATAGACAATGGTAAGAAGAAGACGACAAAGAAGAATTTATTTTTGAAATAACTCCTCAAGTTAAAAATCACGCTTTCTAGACATACATTCATCTCAACAGTCGCCTGTTTATGGTCTAAAGAGGTGGAGTAAAATCCATCATCTGTATATACGGGTCCAGGCCGCCCTCTGTCTTCTCAAACCCTTAGAGTCATGGCAGCAGATTCTCCAGGAGGGTTTTTCTGTTGACACTAGCTGTGATCTCTCGCTTGGATTAAGCAAATTCCCTTTTTTATGGATCCACATCTTCCTCGGTTGCGCGCCTACAGCTGGTGCAGAATGCAGCGGCCCACCTTTTGACGGACACCAGAAGGAGGGAGCACATTACTCCTGTTCTGTACCAGCTGCACTGGCTCCTGGTGCGCTACCGCATCCAGTTTAAAATTTTACTTCTTGTTTTTAAGTCACTCTATCTTTATGCGCCTCTGGACTTGACTCAGCCGGTTCAGCCCTACGTACCTGGTCGAATTCTTCGGTCAGCAGACCACCGCCTGTTACAGGTCCCAAGTGATCGGGTGAGGACGCGAGGAGAACGAGCGTTCTCACTCTGTGTGCCTCGTCTCTGGAACCAACTCCCTCTAGCAGTGAGAATGGCCCCTCTCTCTGATTTTAAATCACGCCTGAAGGCTCATTTTTATTCCTTGGCTTTTACTTCAGCCAAGCTGAAATGGTTTTGTTACAATGTTTTTTGTTTTATTCTTTATAGTAGTTACTGTACTACTTTATATTACTTCTTCCCGTGGGTTGATTTTTATGCTTTTTTACTGTACAGCACTTTGGTTGGCCTCGGCCGTGTAGAAATGTGCTTTATAAATAAAATGGAATGGAACGGTCTTGAACTGCATTTAAAGGTCAATAAATTCCCCTTGTAGTTTATAATTTCAGATACTATTTAATTAAATTAGCCAAATGATCTTTTCCAACCAAAAATAACAACCAAATAGGCGGTTTCTGAATCACAACTGACCGTGTTATCACTCTAACGCTCTTCTACGGCCATACACCTTTTACGCCTCTGTGCCGTTTCCTCTCTTCCTTTTTATTTTAGCTCTAAAGACAAAAATAATAAAGCAGCAAAGAAAGGTACATGAGCTGCCCTGGCTGATGAAACACTAGATAAAGATATCACACACCCTGCTAAGAGACACAAAGTAGAGCATAAAGACATGAACGTAATCCTAGAATCCAACGAAAGCAGAGGTGTGGCATTAGAAAATGAACACCTGAGGACAGGTAAACAGCAGCAAACTAAATGCTGAGAGAGTAACTAATAGCATAGCTGATATTGAAACCTATCTACACTTTTTGAAACATAACACTTAATCACTAACCTGCGTATTAAGCTCATCCTTCAGGTGTCCTGCTTCCTTCTCTCAGAGAGTGTTCTGTCAAAAGAAAGAGAAAATTCATCAGCGGGTCACTTTTGATCATCCATCATCACCATCACAAGCTGTAGAAGAAGAGATTAAAACAACAACAAACCAGGGCTGGGCGATATGGCCTAAACTCAACATCACAAGATTATGAGGATTTCACCTCAGTAACGATAAATAGACGATGACTACATGTATAACAAAAGCTGTCCACTAGATGGGGCTGTCACGAGTATTACGCCGAGTCACGTTGTCGTGTGACTCGAGATGGTACAGCTTCTTAAAATGAACATGAACGTCGCCAACCAACACACGTTTTTCATTTTCTTATTATCTAATTTGTTGTCATGGGGAAAATGATACCGGTTAGTCAGAAATTTTGATAACAATAAAGTTTTGATTTATCGCCCAGCCTTACAACGAGGCCTGTGGCACCCTGGACTATTTAAAACATTTATTTGTACTTGTAGTCTGGCTGTCTTTTTGTTGTGTTTAACTCCACATCTACCGTTCCTGGTTACTTATTATTTCTGGTGATGTACCAATTCACGCCACAGGGGGGCAGTAGCAGCACGACAGAAGGAGCTGATGACTAGCCAGGCTTTATGCAGAAGAAGATTCATTCAGCCTCATCTGTGTAAAAGCTGTGAGCGCTATGAAAGCTCTTCTCACAAACATGTTTTCTGTGATTACAGAAAAAAACTGAAGCCTCTGTCATCACGGGTGTGATATATGCTTAAATAAAATCTGTGAAGTGAATTTTCATCCAACTCTTAAAAACCAGCAGTGAAGATAATTGTCTGACTTCCAGCAGAAGGTCGTTCCACAGCTTAGAGACCAAGAGCGAGAACACCCCGCCTCCTCTAGTCAAGCATTTCACACGTGGAATGTCAACTAAGTGATGATCAACGTGCACGTGAAAGGTTGTAGCAGTAGTCCAAGCACAAAGTCATAAAATCATGGACTACTGCCTCCAAGTGTGCATGTGACACTAGAGGCTTGATCCTGGATAGGCAGCAAGGATGGAAGTTTAGGAATTTAGTATGATCTTGTTATTTAACACCCACAACTATTAAGAAGTGTGGTTCTGCAGAACAGGAATGCTTTTGCTAAGTGTTTAAACGATTTTACTCATTTGAAAAATAAAATGCATGATTTTTTATGTGCAAAGTTAGATGTTTGTATTTGATTTTTGAAGAACTACAAAAGACGAGGGGGGATGATGTCAGAGAGACGAGCTGGGGTGTGATGGGGGTGTTTGTTTATGGCCAGAGTTTGATAAAGCTCACAGAAACCAGACTGGTGGATTTGACCCTTTGCTATGGCCACCCACCCCCACCGCCCCACCCTACCACACACAGACACAGACACCCGTGTTTTGCAGCACATTTCTCAGCATAAATGAGTACACCCCCTTTAAAAAGTACAAATGTAATCAGGAGCTCAATGAACAAAAGAACAATTTCCAGAATGTTCACAAGGCCGGTTTTTATTGAACACGTGTTTAACTCCATAACATGGAAGTAAGTTTATTAATCTAACTTGGATCACAAAATCTTCAGTTTTCGGAACAGTGGTGGAAGCTAAAAATAAATACACCCCACAACAAAAATTACTACATCTAGTATTTTGTATGACCACTGTGATTTTCAAGGACAGCGCCAAGTCTTCTAGATAGGGAATGAGCAAGTTGGCGACATATTGCAACATCTATCTTTACCCATTCTTCCAAGAAGAACCTCTTTTAGAGCCTGGATGCTGGATGGAGAGTGACGCTCAACTTGCTGCTTCAGAATTCCCCACAGGTGTTGGACTGGATTCAGATCATCAGGAGACATTCTTGGCCGTTCAATCACCTTCACCCTGTTCTTCTTCAGAAATGCAGCAGCAGCTTTAGATGTGTGTTTTGGCTCATTGTCGTGTTGGGAAAAGTGCACGACGCCCAAGGGCATGGAGTGATGGCAGCATCTTCTTCTTCAGTATAGAGCAGTCTATTGTTGAGTTCATGATACCATCAATGGAATGCAACTCCCCAACACCAGCAGCACTCATGCAGCCCACATAAGGACACCGCCACCACCGTGTTTCACTGTAGGCACCATGCATTTTTCTTTGAAATCCTCACCTTTACGACGCCATACAGTTTTGAAACCATTAGTTCCAACAACAGTGATCTTTGTCTCATACAGACTATAGAGTCCCAGTAGTCTTCATCTCTTTCAGCATGGGCCCTAGCAAAACCTTGGTGTGTTTCTTTGTGCATGGCAGTGTATCTGCAGGTTTAAGGGAGCCTAATTTAAGACTTAAGACCTTTTCTAAGGCCACTTTGACCAAATATAAGCTATTTAAGCAGGGCAGTAGTAGCTCAACAGGTTGAGCGGGTTGTCCAGTAATCGGAAGGTTGCAGGTTCGATCCTGGCTCCAGACAGAGAATTCTACTGTTGTGTCCTTGGGCAAGACACTTAAGCCACCTTGCCTGCTGGTGGTGGTCAGAGGGACCGGTGGCACCTGTGCTCAGCAGCCTCGCCTCTGTCAATGCGCCCCAGGGCAGCTGTGGCTACATCGTAGCTCATCACCATCAGTGTGTGAATGTGTGTGTGTGAATGGATCAATGATACAATGTAGTGTAAAGTGCTTTGGAGTCCTTACTCTGACAGGCGCTATACAAGTGCGGGTCATTAATCATTTTTAAAAATTAAATTTAAGCTATAATTTCCAGCTATTGCCTGGAACCGGTGCTAACCACGCCACGATCGTGGGATTAGCCATCCAGTTGCCATTAAACTTCCACTTCCCCATGGCGCAAGCTCCCACTAGCTTAACCAGCTAACGTGCTCATCTAAAAATAGCCCCCTTTCACAACCAACTGAACATGTACGGTTCCGCTTACGCCAATATCATACACAAAAAATGCTGAACACGAACTAGAAATTCATGAAAATTTTATAGAAATTAAAGAATCTTGTTTATTGGGTCTTTGGTAATTTGAGACCTCTGGAAACTATTTAAGGATTATTTGTCATTTTTAAGGATTTTTAAGGCCTTAAATTTGGAAAAGCTAATTTAAGACTTTTTAAGGACCCGCAGATACCCTGGCATGGGCTTTAGGAGGGGCTCCCTTCGTGGGCGATACCCATGCATGCCATGCCACTGCAGCGTGCGCCGTATGGTGTCACGGGAAACGGTCACTCCAGTTTGGCTTTCTACTGCTTTAGCTAACTGCAGTGAACTTGCATGGTAATTTTCTTCAACCCTTCTCGTCAGAAGAGGCTCCTGTTGAGGGGAGAAGAGCTCCACAAGCCGATAGTCGGAACCCAGCTCCACCAACATGTTATATTTCAACCCATTTTCTAAAGTGCAGCATTATGTTAAATGCACTGGGGTTTACCCTATTACATTTAAATTTCATGGTTAAACAGTACATGTTAAAATCTAAGCTCAGCTCGGCAGTGACCTAAAATACATAAATATAATTTTACTTACCGACAAAATGAAGTGGAGACTCCTTGGACGCTTTATTAGTGCAATTAATACTGCAGCAAGTCATTTTGTCCAACAATTGCAAAAAAAATATCCAAAAAAAGAATACACAAACACAGAGACTCAAAATCCCGAAACAGTTTCCAAGCCAGACCGAGGCTCTACTGAGGCCTTTCCATGGAGCTAGCTCTGTGGTCACGTGGGTCTGATACTCATTAATTATACAGAATTTTAGGCTTTTAATACACTCAAACAGAAGAGTGAGAAAAAAATTCACCCCCCTCAGAGTTGTCATGAGTGTAAACTAGATCATTTAAACCAAAAACATGTTTTGGTACCAGGCTGTAAACATGTTTATTTCTGCTGTGAAATTGGTATTTTTAACATGGGAGTCAATGAGGATTTGCTCGCTTCTGACACCAACCCCCAGCGGATGAGGGTGGAACTGCTATTTTTGTCACTTCCGCGTTGGACTCAATTTTTCACCCGCATTGTGGGGGCTTGGTCATTCCTTGTATTCACTGTGTGTTGCTACACTGTTCATACAAGTGACACTGAATATATCTGATCTTATCTTAATAATTCCTCCCAAGCAACAAGACTCGTGACCAGTTATCACAAACACTGGATGCTGCCAGGTGTTATAAACCGTTACAGGTTCAAAGATAAGGCTTTTTCACACAGGATCAGATGGTTTTCTTTAATAATTAAAGCATCATTTGAAAACTGAATTGTGTTTACTCAGATTTTCTGTATCTGATGTTGAATTTAATTGCTTTTCTATTTAAATGTGACAAAAAGCAAAGACTGAATAACGAGCAGGTCTCGTCATATAGAATCATGTAAATAGAGGAACCTGCGGGCGCGTGCCCGTTCATCAAGGTGCGTGCACGCAGAAGGGTCGTAATCTCTCCCAGGAGTTGACCACAGTGGACCGGTAGAAACCCATTTACCGTTTTATCCTACCTCAGCTACTTTCCTTTTGACCAATAGTTATGTTGTGATACACCACCAGGTGCGGTTATTTTGAGCCGCGGTGAGTCAGTTGACAGCTAGCCTCACTGCTAACACCAAAACAACCCAAACACCACCTGATCGTAAACTCAAAAATCAACCCAACTCTTCTAACCGAACGTGGATGTGTCATACCTTCACGGAGGTCCGCCCAGCCGCGCCTGAACACGGTTAAACCATGGGTGTTGCACCGAAACTGGTTCCAAGACCAGCGCTCCACGCTCGCTCCAGCCGGTGTTATGCTGAGGAATGTGTGCCTACTGAGATTTGCAACCCCTTCGCGGTGACGTGCACAGCCAGATGACCGATAACGAGACAAACTAAGACATGCTTACCTCGTTATAAAAATCCGTTAAAGGTTATAGAACATTTCCGCTAGAGGCAAAGCTTCCGGAAGCGCTGAAACTGAAACTTCCCAGCTGACCGAGACGGAAAAATAAAAAAGGTCATCATTTGTCAGAGCTTCAAACACGTAGCTGCACCCTCTGCTGGTTTAAAAGGTTGATACAGGTTTTTAATATTTAGCAACAATGCACCAAAAAGATTTACATTTTCAAATTAAATTAGAGTTTTAAAATGTGTGAGGTTTTCGTCTATATTTTTAATTATTTTATAATTTAAAGCTGATCTTTGAATGGTTTAGGCATTTCCCCAGCCTTCTCAGGACAGTGCTGGGGCTATATTTAAACTTAGAAGACAGAAAAAGAAAAGATTTAGCCAAATGAATGAGAGAAAAACAATAAACCTAAAAGGAGCATTCCAAATTAGGTCAATGTATTAGTAATTCAAATGATTTCAGAAAAATGCACAGTGGTGGTGTAATGTGTGTGGGCCTGGTCCGGTCCCTACTCTTCTTCGTCCTTCCTGTGGACTACGCTGTGTGGGAACACCGTGCTCATTTATGCTTTGTGAAATATTCACTTCAAGGCATTAAAAGTGATCGATTGCAGTTGAAATTCTTCCCCTCACGGGGATATACAAATGATCTACAGGTGTTGACTTAACCAATTCTTCAAGACATGTTCCGTGACTATTCACCAGGCGTGGGGGATGCTTCCTCACTCCTTCTGCTGTCAACATAACATCTGGCATTCCTCGACAGAGTCCTTCAGGCCTCTTGGATGTTACAACGCCAGGTGGTTCCTGCCAGACCACCGTGTCCTTGTAAAATGGGGGGGGAGATGTAACGTCACAAAATGGACTGATTTTAAAGATCCCACAGGTCACATGCAGCCAGAGCAAACAACCCTGGCTACTCCACGTTCTGCTGCATCTTCTCTTGTCAGGAGTCTGAGTCTGCACAACTCAGCATTTTAATCAGATGACTTCATCAGCTGAGTGCAGCTTCATCAGATAAGATGAACAGTAGCATTCCTTTCCCCAAGGTTCCTCACAAGAAAACTCAAGATAAACTTTTTATTCTCCAAAAGAAAAGATCTTATAATTCAAAATAGTCATTATGAACTTTTATTATTATGAGCAATTTAATGTCCAGGAATCTGTATTGAATGATGGTTTAGTATGTTTACTAGATGAGGTCATCACCATTTGCTCACACACCAGACTGTCATGTTCCTGGGAAGGTGTTTAACCCAGGACATGAAGAACCATCACAGGACAAAGGCAGAAAGTTCAAACAATGATTTATTAACCCTAACTAAAAGTGTCCTGGAGATTTCCAAGTGTGAAGTAGTCGGCAAGAGTCCAAAAGCCAGCAGGGAGGGCAGACGGTGTGACGGGTGCGTCCAGGAGAGGGAGCCAGATGATGGCGGCAGAGGGCAAGTGAAGAAGGAGGAGAGGTGAACCTTGAGTGTGTAATCCAGGCGGGTTATGGTGACTTCCAGGTAGGTACATCCATCTGTGGTTCAGCGATTCCAAGTATCCTGAAGATGAAACAGACTTGAGTCCAAACACCAAAAAATCCAAGCACAAAAAACCAGATAAATCCAAAAACTGTGACAGCACAAATGTCTGAGCAGAGCCCAAGTAAAACCTAGTACTGAGTGGCAAGATTCTACCGTGAGTAGTTAATCATCCAGCGATGTGAAGTGGTTCCCTCTCCTCTTAAATAGAGCTCTGCTGCGGTTGATTAGAGGATCTGCAGCTGCCGCTGATCGGTAATGCCCCGCAGCTGGTGAATGCCCTCTCCTGGAATGACAGTCTTACAAAGATGTTGTGGAGAAGAGGGAGTACTCACCCCGTCACACAACACAGACAAGAGTAAGGTTAAAATTGAGAACGCACCTCTCTGACAATACGGAGATTCTGATCCATCATCTCATATTCACACACAGTTTTCAGACACCCATCTTTTAGTTCCATCCACTCACAGAATAATAGTTTAAACCATTTGTCAAGTCTTAATTGTTTGTAAAATAAATTCTTATTTGTTTGCAAACACTGACTGGTTCTTGAATCATAAACGAAGTGTGAACGATCCCTTAATAATTAAAAGAATCCTAGAACCTTCTAATTAATCATCCTAAGACCAAGCAAGGTGATATTCCATAATTAATGGAGTATTACAGCTACTGGTCACAAGTAATGAGAATAGAAATAAATAGTTTTTAAAGCAATTTATTTAGCCCACATTACTCTACTATTTTCCATTACAAGTGTGTGTGTGTGTGTGTGTGTGTGCGTGCGTGCGTGCGTGCGTGCGTGCGTGCGTGCGTGTGCGTGTGTGTGTGTGTACAGTCAGAAGTTTACATACACTTGTAAAAAATATAATATAATGGCTCTACTGAGTGTCCCGTTATTTCTAAAACTCTGATTTTTCTCTGATAGAGTGATTGGAACAGATACTTCTTTGTCACAAAAAACATTCATGAAGTTCGGTTCTTTAATGTCTTTATTATGGGTTAACAGAGAAAAGTGATCACATTTGCTGGGTCACAAATATACATACAGCAGTGCTAATATTTGGTTACATGTCCCTTAGCCATTTTCACTTCAATTAGGCGCTTTTGGTAGCCATCCACAAGCTTCTGGCAAGCTTCTGGTTGAATCTTTGACCACTCCTCTTGACAGAATTGGTGAAGTTCAGTTAAATTTGATGGCTTTCTGACATCGACTTGTTTCTTCAGCACTGTCCACATGTTTTCAATGGGGTTTAAGTCAGGACTTTGGGAAGGTCATTCTAAAACCCTTATTCTAGCCTGATTTAGCCATTCCTTTACCACTTTTGATGTGTGTTTGGGGTCATTGTCCTGTTGGAACACCCAACTGCGCCCAAGACCCAACCTTCGTGCTGATGATTTTAGGTTATGTTGAAGAATGTGAAGGTAACCCTCCTTCATTATACCATTTACTCTCTGTAAAGCACCAGTTCCATTGGCAGCAAAACAGCCCCACAGCATAATATTCCCACCAACATGCTTGACTGTAGGCATGGTGTTCTTGGGGTTAAAGGCCTCACCTTTTCTCCTCCAAACATATTGCTGGGCATTGTGGCCAAAAAGCTCGATTTTTGTTTCATCTGACCACAGAACTTTCCTCCAGAAGGTCTTATCTTTGTCCATGTGATCAGCAGCAAACTTCAATCGAGCCTTAAGGTGCCGCTTTTGGAGCAAGGACTTCCTTCTTGCACGCTAGCCTCTCAGTCCATGGAGATGCAAAACACGTTTGACTGTGGACAATGACACCTGTGTTCCAGCAGCTTCTAATTCTTGGCAGATCTGCTTTTTGATGATTCTTGGTTCACTCTTTACCCTCCTGACCAATTTTCTCTCAGCAGCAGGTGATAGCTTGCGTTTTCTTCCTGATCTTGGCAGTGATGAAACAGTGCCATGCACCTCATACTTACAAACAATTGTTTGCACTGTTGCTCTTGGGACCTGCAGCTGCTTTGAAATGGCCCCAAGTGACTTTCCTGACTTGTTCAAGTCAATAATTTGCTTTTTCAGATCCATGCTGAGCTCCTTTGACTTTCCCATTGTAGCGTTTGTATCCAATGAGCCCTATTTACCTGGCCTAAGAGAAGTCACCAGCTGTAATCACTCATAATCACTCACAAGAAGTTAAGAGGCCATGCTATGAAGCTCAGTTCACTGACACGTTTCTAAGTCACCAAAATTGCTAGTTCATGTTGCTGTATGTATATTTGTGACCCAGCAAATGTGATCACTTTTCTCTGTTAACCCATAATAAAGACATTAAAGAACCAAACTTCATAAATGTTTTTTGTGACAAAGAAGTATCTGTTCCAATCACTCTATCAGAGGAAAATCTGAGTTTTAGAAATAATGGGACACTCAGTAGAGCCATTATATTATATTTTTTACAAGTGTATGTAAACTTCTGACCACAACTGTAGGTACTGGTCTTTGATTGCTCTTATTACAAACAAGAACCTAAATATCTCCAAGGGAATAAACAGATGAGCAGCGTCTGCCACGAAGGTATGAGCTAACTAGTATATACCTGTGAAAAAGCACAACATAAACGCACTTAAATATTATCATGAACAACAGGCAGTCCGTGCTGCATCCAGTTGAGTTCCAGTTCTCACGGCCAGGATCAAAAGAATGAAACAAAAAGGGGAGGGGGCCGGAGCTCTCGGTTCAATCTTATAAATTATTAGGTGCACAGAAATATTACTTAGATTTGTCTCGTGCAACATGCAATACACAACCTGGTTCACATGCACACACAGCACATGTGACATCCAGTCACTGTCGTTTAAAAAGAATGTGCATCGTGATGAAGGACACAACATGAAACCTGAGCGATGAGGTAACTTTTGGGTTAACCATGTGCTTTCTGAAAACTTCCGATTTGGCTGAAAAATAAAATAAATAACGGTCGATTTTATTTGAACACATTTGAATCAAAAGTCACTGTCCCAAGCCAGGACTATGTTCTCTGCCCAGTGTTTTATAATTACAGGTCACGATCCTGCAGACAACATTGCGTCACATCCATCTGTTTAAATGAGTGTTTACACATTTCAAAGACACAGAGTTGGAGGTCAAATCTCATTAAAAAATGTCCTCTTGAAATATTCCGTAGAACATATTGTATGCTCTTTAACCGTCTGTTCCAGTAGGGAGGATAGATATTTGCGCTTTTATTTTGTAGGAATCTTTTGACTTATGCACAGATCTGGAAGCTCTTTACTTTGAAGTGTCAATAAATTAATTATAATTTAGTGCTAATTATCACCCTGGGTGTATACTCTTCAAAAAGTCAAAAGGAACTAATATTATCCACCCATCCATCCATTTTCAGCCACTTATCCAGAGTCGGGTTGCGGGGGCAGCAGGCCCAGACTTCCCTCACCCCAGCTACTTGGGCCAGCTCTTCTGGAATAATCCCAAGGAGTTCCCTGGCCAGCTGAGAGACATAGTCCCTCCAGCGTGTCCTGGGTCTTCCCTTGGGTCTCCACCCAGTTGGACGTGCCCGGAAAACCTCACCAGTGAGGCGTCCATGGAGGCGTCCTAACCAGATGCCCAAGCCACCTCAACTGGCTCCTCTCATTGTGGAGGAGCAGTGGGTCTACTCCGTACCCTAACCAGCCAAAGCTAATATTATCAAATCACTAAATCTGGGCCTGCAGAGATTGTGTCTGATTTATTTTGACCACAAAATTGGTGGCAAGCTCCAGTTATGCCCTCACAAAAATACATGCCTGGCTTACTTAGAGGAATACACTTTTGGATGATATATTATATAATAGTTTCTACATTATCACACTTGGACTATGGGACAGAAATAAACATGTTATTGGTTGACCAGTTGCATTTTAATAAATACTTTTTTGTAATTGGCTAAATCTGTCCTTTATCAGATTAACCAGTTATCATCTTTGCGTATGTGGCTGTTAGTAGTTAAGAGGATTGAACTTGAGAGCTCTGATCATATTAATGCATGAAATATGCGCAGCTGAAATGTTGCTCTTATTCTGAAGGGCAGCCGGAAGCGTGGGGCGTACTTCCTGTTGACGTTAACGGAGCGCATTAGCTGTCAGGTACCATTCTAACTGACTACCGCAGCGAGAGGCGTTGTATCCCCAGCATGGCGTCCGACGAGCTGGCTAAGAAGCTGCAGTCGCGGCTCGTTGCTTCAGAGGAGACCGAACCGAGGCCCGAATCCGAGCAGAGCCCGGTACGAGCCCCAACGCACGAGCCCGATGACGCCAGCGGCGACCTGCCTTCCGAGTCCGAGCTGGCCGCTAAACTGAACCGCAGGCTGGACATCAATGATGGGACCTCCGCTCCTCGGATGAGCCGCGTCTTTAACCCGTACACCGAGTTCAAGGAGTTCTCCCGCAAGACAATCAAAGACTTGGAGGCGATGTTCAAACGGTAAGGCCGATGTCCGGACACCATCTTTAGTTTTTCTCTTCATGTCTGAACAGGCGCTCCGGCGGGTTTACGTGCGGCAAGATAGGGACGGAACGAACACGCTGAGCTGAAGATCGTGATCAGATTAGGGCTGGTTTGCTCACGGGAGCCTCCAGCCAGGTGAAGGCTGGGACTGGTGAGCTCGCTGCGGACGGAGCTTCCGTTACTTATCAGGCTGAAGTTTACAGGGAAATAAAGGTTTATTGAGCCACACCCGAACGGGGAAGCTTAGAGATTTGTTTACAGTGCCGTTATCTGGATCTGCAGCTATAACTGTATTAGTGACTTTAAAAATGAGCTCAGCGGGAGGTTTGAATAGTTTAGATTTTTTGGATCAGGCCTAAATGTGGCTTTCTGAGCTCAGCCAGAAATTACTAGAAGTTATTCTAGAACCATATAAGTAGAGATGCACCGATTCTGATTGTGAGGGCCGATATCTGATTGGTGTACTGTCCACTGGGCAGCAGAGGACTGGTTGCCCAGGAGGGTTGTAGGTTCAATCCCACCTCCTGCTAGAGAATTCTGCTGATGTGCCCTTGGGCAAGACACGTAACCTGCCTTGCCTGCTGGTGGTGGTCGGAGGGACCGGCGTCGCCTGTAGCTGTGGCTACATTGTAGCTCATCATAACCAGCATCTGAATGGGTGTATTGCTGTGTTGTAAAGCACCTTGGGGGGTTGTAGAACCCTAAGAAGGAGCTGTACAAATACAGACCACTTACCATATATTGCTCTGACCTGCTGCTGGTTTTGGCCAGTTTTTATCTATCTGACAGAGCTATAATTAACAGATCGCAGGCTGATATTTAATCACCAAGGCCGGATAATAATATGGGCAAACTGGACACAGGCCCAGAGGCCCACAGCCACAAGGGGGCCCACGCGAGCAGCAGTCTTTTTATTATTATTATTTTTTTGTGCAGCAGTCTTAACGTTGAAGAAAGAAGTTAACAAGTAATTAAACTTGCGCCCGCATTTTCTAAGTTAACACACATTTCTTTTAACAACGGTAGTTTTTGCATCTTTACTGCCTGCTTCAGCCCTCTCCCCCCTCCACCTGCGCAAACCTGCGCCTGCAGCCTCTCAGAGTTCCTGCTGATCTAAACATTGAAAGAATCATTTAATTTTCTGTTCCTCACTTGGATTACCTTCAGTGGTGTCAGTTTGTTGCAACCAGGTACATAAACAAACTTGTTTTTTATTTGACTATTTTTCTGTCCTGTCTGTTTATTATCTTCCTGCATCTCCTCTCAATCCTGAAGAAAAATTGCTACCTGGGTTCATATATATTCACCTCATGAGTTACCTTTGAACTGCAGTTCTACAAAATCTACCGACTGCAGAAATAGTGGAGTGCGCGCTGCGCGCCAGCCACACCAATGTGGTGAAGTCACCGGAGGATGAAACAGGTGATGCGCTCGCTCCGCAGCAGCGAAACGCATCAGGCACAAATAAAAGACAGAAAGCATGAAAGGATATGAGCCGACATGAATGATCGCGTGTTAAATTTGTTTTTGAGGTGGCGACACTTTGATAATGTTACTGCGGCCGTGCCCAGGACGCATCTGTCTGAAGCACGTCAACGATCAGAGCTCTGCACCTCTCTGCTCAAAATAATCCCAGAGTCCACATGGATAATTTAATATAAGCAGTACCAGGATCGTTTTCGGGCAAAAAATAGTCTACAGTCCATCTTTCCTAATGTGTTTGTGGCCCTGCGGGTTTTTCTAACTCTACCAGTTGCAAACTGTGAAGGGGAACGACCATTTTCACAAATGGCAAGAATAAAAAAATGAACTGAGAACAACACAAAGTCAACAGCGCCTCAGTGCACTGTCACTGATGGCTATTGAATCTCGGCTTGTCCGGAATCTGGACTTTGATGACTTTGTAAATGATTTCACTATTAGATAGGCCAGAAAGCAGTTTTTCTGAAGGCAAGAGAGGAGACCAACAAGAGGAGACAAAAAGAGGAGTAAGGAGACAAGTGGAGGAAGGAGACAGGAGACAAGAGGAGGAATGAATCAGGATACAAGTGGAGGAAGGAGACAGGATACAAGAGGAGGAAGGAGACAGGATACAAGAGGAGGAAGGAGACAGGAGACAAGAGGAGGAAGGAGACAGGAGACAAGAGGAGGAAGGAGACAGGAGACAAGAGGAGGAAGGAGACAGGAGACAAGAGGAGGGGTGGGGGGGCTTAAGCACATTGTGCCCAGGGGCCCCTGCAATGATAATCAGGCCCTGTTAATCACAAATCATTTTCACTCATCAAGATTCCATTTGACTTATGACTTGGGTGAGACGACTGATAAAAACCACCCAGACCCTAATGGATCAGGAGGTCATGGTTCTGTCATCCAAAGTAGTTAAAATACAAGTAAATGCAAGGGAGACTGACACCTCTATTGGCCTGTATACCTCTTAAGTAGAGGCCATTTAAATACGGGCACATCCGTAGGCAGCCCGGTGTTGCTGCTAAATTGTATTTAAAGTGCAAGTCACCCCTACCAGAGTATTACTCCGCTCCCACTTCCTGTTTGAAAAAAGCAAGTAATGCTGTTGCCTAGCAGACCCTGAGGGCGGAGCCGCTAACAAATACACACACACAGGCTCACAACGATATTGTGACATCATATGGTACCAGCTAACGTTCTAGGGTACCTCTTAGCCAATAGCAATGGCAGATTTAAATTCAAAAGCAGTGCGTAGTTTTTACCTGACAACGGCATAACACTGACAGTTTTAGGCAGAAAATTAAATTTTTTACTAAAATGCACTAATGTGCAAAACTATTGACTACATGTGTTCGGAGCACAATTAGACACACATTTATATAGTTTATCCGAAAAAAAATTGACTGGGGGGAGACTTGCTCTTTAAATATATATTTACGTTCCTGAGAAAGTTGCTTGACCCTGTCAAATGACATTCAGGGTTTTTTTTTACCTTTTTTTATGCTTGGCCAGTTTACTGATTTGTTTGATTGTCTTTGGTTGAACGTTTGACTTTAAACTCAGTATAAAAACTGATTCAGCTTCAGAAAGGTTGTTACTGGTGCCCAGTACATCACCACATAATCTCCTTCCCCCTAGCATAGCTGCTACTCACCACACGACCAGATTTATGGTGCTTCTATCCTCCTGAAGGAAGGATTAGAAGTTTGATGATTTCACAGCCATTTTCCTTCTGTTTTTCTCTGTGTCATGGACATCATGTGTGAAATCCACGGACCATAACAAGCAGAATTAGAAAATAGAGTTTTTAGCTTCATTGACTTGCATTCATTTTTTTGTTTTTCTGGGGTCCCGTGGTCCGGAAGTAGGTGGGCGTGACTTAGGCTCCCTATAAAGAGTCTAGTGGGCGGGGCGTCCATCTTTGATCAGAATCACAAACTTGGTGCGAGCTGAACTGAACTTCTCACTGGTGAACTTCACAGTCTTCCTGATTTTTAACCAACATTTTAACCGCGTTAGAAGGAAGTGGAACACTTCCTCTGGTGGGGAGAAGTCCTGACCGAAAGAGGTTGATTCATTCTGAGTCAGAGCCTCAGTGCTAACACGTTCCAGTCTTATCTGTTATCTCAGTAACAGCCCAGAAGAATTTCTTTAGCTCTGAGTCGTTTCTGACTTCATGTATGATTTTACCTTCTTGTTGCAGAATAATGGACCACATCTCCTTATATAAAGCTTGTATCCATTATGGAGAGGCCTGTTTACTGTGATTTATTATTATTATTATTAATGTAGTGAGTAAAATGTCTTTCACCTCACAAATGTGAACTTACAGGCAAATATTTAAAATTCTTCTATCAGCCACAATAGTATCCGCTTCAGAGTTATGAGTAAGTATTTGCAGTAAATGGTCTGTATTTGTATGGCGCCATCTTAGGGTTCTACAACCCCCAAAGCGCTTCACAACACAATCAGTCATTCACCCATTCACACACAGATAGTAATCAGCTACGATGTAGCCACAGCTACACACCATCAGTCCCTCCAACCACCACCAGCAGGCAAGGCGGGTTAAGTGTCTTGCCCAAGGACACAACAGCAGCATTCTCTGGTGGGAGCCGTGATCGAACCTGCAACCTTCTCATTACTGGACAACCCGCTCTACCTTCTGAGCTGCTGCTGCCCAGTATGCCCAGTATGTTGTATATTCTGAGTCTTACCAGGAAATGGCCCAAGACAAAGAAGCTGTAGTCTGACACAATCTGTGAGACTATGGAGGCATGAATGAAGCCCTAATCTGTGAACCAATCTGCTCAGTGCCCTGAAAAGAGAACTGTTCATGCAGGAATCTGGGAAAAGCCTGAAGGTTTGATCTGGCCCGAATCGCACTCATGTCAGAAGTACTTTGTGTCTCTTTAGCCATCACGGTGTCCACAAAGAGTCATGCCGTTGGAAGGCAGAAACACACCAGTCTGTCAGGATTTTCTTACTGAGTTTATGTAAATCAGTTTTACAAAAGCCTCAGATCCAGATCTCAGAGATCCAGAGTGAAACCGTCTACATAGATTCAGGAGTTCAGCTGTCAGTGGGACACGCAGCAGGGCCCTGCTAACAGTTGAAACTGAGTAACATGAGTTCCTTTGTGTTATTGTTAATATTTAACATTTATTTATTAATGTCGTTAGGAATGTTTCAGGTTCACACACTGTATTCTAGCCAGATTTCCAAATAGTAAAAATAAATAAATAAATAAATAAAATGCCGATGGGGCCGGCATTCTCCAAGTAAAAACTAATTAACATAGAACTGGACTGAATGTCATTCTCTGGGGTAAAAGCACCAGTGAGCCTGTTTGAGTAACTACAAGTGAGTCATATCTGAGCAGAACTTCAGACTGCATGATCTGGAGTCTTTATTTCCTGATATAGGGAGTCTAAGTCACTTCCGCATCACGGGTCCCCGGAAGAACGAAAAAATTAACGCAAGTCAACGGGGCTAAAAATGCTATTTTCCGATTCCGCTTGTTTTGTGCCATGGATTTCACATCTGATGTCCGTGAATTTTAAAGGCACATTTTGAACGCGCTTATTTTCGAAGGGGGGGAACGATATTTTAGGTTTTGTGTGAAAATAAGTCCAGGACTACAAATGCGCTTCACGAAAGTGATGTCATCGAACCAGACACAGAGAAAACTGAGGGGAAAAATGGCTGTAAGTTCAGCAAGCTTCCCACAGGAGGAAAGAACCACCATAAATCTGGTCTTGTGGTAATAGCAGCTACGCTAGGGGAGAGGAGATCATGTGGTGACGTCACATATGCGACGTGCCGATTTCTGGTGTGTAGTCACGCTAATTATGAACTTTTACAAGCTAATAAATCTCAAAGTACGTGACTGGCGTGGTCGAAACACCTATCATTAGTTTTCATTTAAATAGCAGTACAACATATGTGTGATCCAGGACGTGAGGCAAAGCGGGTTAGAAAATAGCGTTTTTAGCCCAGTTGACTTGCATTCATTTTTTCGTTCTTCCAGGGACCCATGATGCGGAAGTAGACTTAGGGTCCCTATTCGGACATCTCTCCTCTGATCGGCTAACGGCAACACGACTCTACCACTGACTCTGTTTATTCTGCAACTTTTATGCTTTATCTCCACAAATAATACAAGCCAGGAGGAGGTCCGCTGTGTGGTAAAGTTGCTAATGCTAACAGTTAGCTTCTACTAGTCAAGATGTTCTCTGCTGTTTCCTGGACACCAAACCAACAACGGTCTCCCTCGTTGTGAGTCGAGGGCTTTTCTAATCCTAGACTTTCACTGTCTATTTTCTAATGCGGGAGATGGGTGTCGGAGAACTTTTTCCTTCAGCCTGCATGAAAAACTCAGAGTTACTGACTGTAATTAGAAGTAATCAATAAAAATGATTTTTCTGTGAACCACAGCTTTAGTATTTTAGGTTTATGTTTATGTATTTAGCAGACGCTTTTGTCCAAAGCGACTTACAAGTGATTTTCAGGTTTTCGGGTTATTCTTTTCTTGAATTTGATCAGTATTTACAGTATTTTACTGATTCCATTGATTTATTTATTTGTTTCTTACATTTTTTTTCAGTTTTGGCAAAGAAAACAAGCATTTGATTAATTGAATCCAGTTTTTGTTGTTGTTTATCAAAAGTTAACAAAGTAAAGACAAAGTTTAGGTAAAAGTCAAACTTTTTTGTGACCTACAGGGCCGTCATAATCTAAGTCCAACACACGGGTCCTCGCCCACATTCCCAGATAGAAATCACACTGATCAGTTTAAAACTTCTGTTTGTTCTGAGCTCAGACTTCCTTTAACCTGTTTACCGAGTCACTTCTGTTTTTCTGAATGGTTTTACGGAAGTGCAGGTTTTGTTTAGTTTCACAAACACAAACCAGTCCTTTCTGAGGCCGGTTTTTCTGATGCCAGCAACTTTTCTCTTGGTTCTTGCTGCTTTTTTAAAGGTTTTAGCGTTTGTGCTGCTTTATTAGTCTGATTTTACGGTTTAATGGAAGTTTTCTGTTGGGGATAAGCACGCTGCCTGTTTTAGCCAACATGAGCAGGAACGTTTCCTCCTCAAGGCAACTTGTGCTCCTCTATTTACACAGCTGTGGATAGGCTCTGAAGGCCTGGCCTTTAAACCACGAAGAACATATTTCCAAATCAATTACGGGTACTTATAGAGGAGTACTTGCTAATACTGACTACTGATGCTGAGTACTAGTGAATGCCACTGAGCTACACCCCTACTTTAAACTGGAGCCCATCAGGTGTAGACTGTGTCCCATGTAGAGCAGCTTGACTAATTCAGGCAAGGAGAAAAGACATTTATATTCCAGGAGCAGCCTCCTCACCCCCTGCTGCCTCTATAAGTGGGACTGAATGGTTCTGGGGTAACTGCAGGGAAACGGAGAGCAACAAATAAGACTAAACTCTAGATTCAATACGTGTTCTTACATGAATGTCCTCACAGTTCTCTCTGGAGGTTCTCACAAAATTCCTTCTGATTGGTCAGGAAATAGAAAAATCTTGTTAGAAGAACCGGGTCCTGTTAACTAGTGGTTAACTAGTTAACTAGTGGACATAGTCAGAGTGGAAAATGCCTGGAGGAGGCCTAGTCGCTTACACCGGCTTCAGAAGTTTTGCTGTTCTTCTCTTTTGATTGGCTGTGGAGACACCTGAAGGACCAATCATCTGTCTTCATGTAGTCCTACATTCTTCATCCTTTACACTCACACCAACTAACCCATGTTCTCCTTCACCACATCCTTAAACCTCCATGTTGGTTTTCCTCTCAGCCTCCAGCCTGGTGGCTCCAACCTCAGCATCCTCCTACCGATGCCATCGTTGTCCCTACTCTGGACAAGTCCAACCTATCCCAGTCTGTCCACTCTGACATTCTCTCCAGCTGTCCCTCTGACCGACTCATTCCTGATCCTATCTGAACCTCAACCTCCAGTTCTGTCTTGTCCTCATGGACACTGTCTCTGTACCACACAACATGGCAGGTCTCACCGTCTTCTACCTTTTTCCTTTCGTTATTACTGAACTCCTGTCACCGCACAAAGCATACATTGTTTGTGTCACATCGACATGATGGAGATCACTGTTCCGGATTGTGAGTGTGTTCGTTGTTTTTCAGGTATGATACAGGAAGAGATGGCTTCATTGACCTGATGGAGCTGAAGCTAATGATGGAGAAGCTTGGAGCTCCGCAGACCCACCTGGGCCTGAAGAACATGATCAAAGAGGTGGATGAGGACTTTGATGGCAAACTGAGCTTCAGAGAGGTGAGAAGTTCACAGAAGGAAGGACAACAACTTCATGTACATAAGTTCAAACCACAGTGATCTCTGCTGAACCCAGATCTGTGACCACAGGAGCTCCGCCCACTCCTCTGAGCGAACAACCCCGGTCCAGCAGAGAACGCTCCTAGTGTGTCTCCAGTCGCACATAGTAATGTATTTATGACTGTTTAAACAAAAGGGTGTGTGTGTGTGTGCACGCGCGCGCGCGTGTGTGTGCATTTGTGTGTGTGTGTGTGTGTGTGTGTGTGTGTGTGTGTGTGTGTGTGTGTGTGTGTGTGTGTGTGTGTGTGTGTGTGTGTGTGTGTGTGTGTGTGTGGCGTGGTAAAACATTCTGTGGTTAAAGTGTATCCACATTTAACTTTGACCACAGTGAGCTCTATCACACCATCTGTGTGCAGACTAAGTATCTGTTCTGTTCCGACGCTCAAATCCAAAGCGACTCACACAAGGTGGGTGACGTGTCTTCTCAAGACTTAACAGCACAATTACTGGGAATGAGCTGGGATCAAACCAGCAACCCTCTGATTACTGAACAACCGGCTGTACCTCCTGAGCCATTGGGCCTGAATTTGGTCAGTCGCACACACTCCAGCTGTGTGAGACGTCTGGTGTGTGTGGAGATGATCAGGTTTATAATATGTCAGTCTGCCATACCTTTACTCCCATCTAGAAGAAGCTTTATTACGTTTTACTGGCTGCTACAGCAGAATGAGAGTAGAGGAAGGTGTTGGCTAAAGTGCCTATAACACAGCTCCCATCAGCTGGGTGGGAAAGCTTACTGATCTACTCAAACACCACAGAGCAAAAAGCTGTGGAATGGAAAGCCAAATGGGTCATAATTTGCATTTAAACCCCTCTCGGGTATCTAATAAACACTGCTGAACACATAACTTTGTTTTAGTACTATTTTATTAACACGATTTCTTTTGGTTTGAAGTATGTCAGACGTTTCCAGTTTAACTAACAAAGGGCAGAAATGTACGAAGAGCATCACCAAAATAACAGCGGGAAACGTTTGAGAAGCTGTTCGTACCAGGCTGAGTTACTTTCACAACTCATAGTGTGAAAATGAGCAAACCTTTTAAATATAGCCGTGTGACACGAGACACTTCAGCTTTCTTTATTTGATCTCTGAGAATCTGACTTTGTTACGGTGTCACACTCCATAGTTATTTGAAAGCGTTTCATCATCGTTGTGTAAAATTCTCTGCTCAGTAATGCAGAATGTTTTAATCCTCAACTGCCCTTTTATGTAAAACTGGGCGATAAATCGGTTAGTTACAATTTGCCATTTTTGAAGAATTAATTTAGAAAATTCTGGATTTCACTGGATGGATGGAAGCTGCAATCCAGAGTTTTCCCCTTTCAGGAGTTATGTATGAGTTTTTAGAAATCCATTAAAGTGATTTTCTTATTATGTACTGTGATATAATGTAGGCAATACATCTATTTTTGCCTGTTGTTGTTTTGTTGTTGTTGTTGCTAATCCCCTCCCGTCCCATAGAGCCACTCTAGCATTAGCATTGAACTAGCTAACCAAAACCTAACGGACAGACAACAGATATCCTAACCTTGACCAGTGTTGCTAAGCAATTCCCCGCCAGGACAACAGAGGGCGTAGCGCTGTTCTGTGGTGTCGTGCCACCATACCGCTCATGTATACGGTCCCCAATAGTATATTTATTGATGTGCTTATATTTTCAGGGACTTTGTAACACGGACAAATTTATCCTTCATTCTCCTGCAACTCTTGGTCACCACCTCTTAACACACATTTCCCGTCGTTTCCGTCCACGTTTGTTCCGTATTTTATACGCTTCCACTCACGGGTAAATAAATGTTCATATTTTGAACTTTTTCCACGATGCGTTCTTCAATCTTCTGGGTCTGCCACTACATATCTTTTTACTTTATGACGGAGCTACAGCTGTGCTGGTGACAAATATGCAGGAAACGGCATCCTGACCAATCACAAGCTTGCAGTCTTCGTCACTTTCGACAGATATTTATAATTTTTGGCATGTCTCCGTCACCCTCTGTGAGCCTGTCGGAGAGCCCTTGCGCCAACGCATAATTGTGTTGCGTGTCTCCAACGCAGACAGAGAAGTATAAATCTGGCTTTAGCTTATAGCTTTGAGCATAGCTAAATGAGAAATCCAGGATAAGCCAAGCTAACCCTAGCTAGTATTTATCACAGAGGAAGGTCTGAAGTCTAGTCTTGAAACTAGACATGATGTCTGCCTCATGGATGGAAACTAGAAGCTGGTTCCACCAGAGAGGAGCCTGTTCCAGATGTTTTTAACAAGAGCATCTCTAAAAGAAAAAGGAGCTTTAGAAGTTAAAAGTTGCATTTCAAATTTAATTCTGACTCTTCATTCTGGCTGAAGAACTGATGCTTAAACTGGAGAAATATGTGCCTCTTTTAGAAAACCATGTTGCCTATTTGTAGAGGCCGGCCGATATATTACATTTTTTCTTTATCGCCATCGGTCAAAATTATTTTTTAAAAGATTTTAAAAAATTTAAAAATCAATACATAAAAATCAGGCACCTGTGTGGCCAACTACCGCCGCTACTACACTAAAGAAAGGACCCAAAGGACCCGAACACACGTTTTTTTTTAATGTTTTGAGTTTGTTTTATATTTGAAGTTCAATAAATATTAAGAGATTTATTGACTTATTTAATTTGTATAGCACACAGTGAGTGTTCAGCTGTCTTTCACAATCAATGTGCAGCTAACATAAATATATATCAGCCTTAATAATCGGCTTTAGATATCGACCATCGGCAACAACAGTCTTTAAAAATCTGCATCGGCCTTAAAAGACCCATATCGGTCGGCCTCTACCAATTTGCCACAACGCCAGGCCGGCATCAGGGAGCCCAAGGTCATTCATGAGTGGTCAGATCGTGGCGGTAATGTAACGTAATCGTGTCCTTTTACAAAAAGCACGCGATGGCGGTATAAAAGGGGTATGGGGTGGACTCTGCGCTGCCACAGACTTCCATTTATCTTGGGCATATTTTGCTTTTTGTTGCGATCAAAGCCGCGCTCATTAAGTTTTTTTTGACAAGCCACTCTTAAAGATGTCTGTTCCCCAAAGTCCCCAGGCAGTCTCTCGTGACCTGACCTCCAGCTCTAACAGAGAGAAGCTCCCAGATCGCTCCAGATTATCATCTCAGCAGGTTCTGTTAACAAAAGCCAAACTTGCTGCCCATGTTTACTTTCATTTTCAATATCATTTCTAGCTGGAGCTCGGCAGTTACTCCCCATGTGACCATGACACCTCCCTATGTTGTGTCACAAGTCTTGCATTGTGGCAATTTGACTGTCGAGTGTGGCGGCACAAATGCTGCAAAATTCCCACAACGCCATGCAGACACACAGATTTGCCAGCAATGGTGACACCGAGCAGGTTCCACTGTTGCGTCTTTGGTCTGTCTGATTTGTTAACAGTGGGGAGGAGGATCTGAACTTTGTCTTTACATGAACTCAGGAGCAGCTGCTGCTAGGCAGATCAAGCCTGACTGATGTTCTGTGTTGCAGTTCCTGCTCATCTTCCGTAGAGCAGCGGCTGGAGAGCTTCAGGAGGAAAGTGGACTGATGGCTCTGGCCAGGCTGTCTGAGATCAATGTCTCGGCTGAAGGAGTGATGGGGGCCAAGGACTTCTTTGAAGCCAAGGTATTTGGACTGATTCTTCTGCTGGTACATCACAACTTTGCACCATAAAGCCAGTTTGTCACTGGACTGGAGGCATGCAGTTGTGAGAGAGGAAGGACTTACTTATCGCACTGAGCTGGTCAGTAATAATAATACATATGTGGTACATGTAGTACATTTTAGGTGTGACCTGGTGGAATGGGGCTTGTGATTCTAAAAAATAGTTGTGTAAGTTTTCTTTTTGCAAATCATTCACAAAGTGTCTTAATCATGTCTTGTTTTATTCTCAATTTGGTCACCGGGTCCACCCAGTAGTCCCTCATAGGGATGGACAATCTGGTCTTTAATCTGTGGTGTACTCTGAAGCTTGTGTGCTAACGGTATTTATCATAATGTATTGTTTCCTTCTGTTTAAATGTGTCAAAATCACCAAGTATTTGAATATTCTCAAATGCCAGGTGCATTGCAGCAGAATGCAAACTTCAAAAAAGTACAGAATTCCATTTAAAGATTATTTAACAAAACCTTTCAAGTCATTTTTAAGGTTAGGGGAAGTTTACTACTGGTGTTTGCTAAAGACTCAAAGTCTCAGTTCAAAACACTCGAATACTTATTGCAATAAGGGGAGACAACAGTCACACTCTCGGGCTCAGGACGGGGACAATAAGCATAAATGTAGGTGTGGCTTGAAGACTGCTGGGGACCGTCTTTATTATTGTTCATTCATAAGTATCTGTCCTTCTGATGTTACAAAATGCAGCACAGGTGTAACGACAGGTGTTGAAAATCAGAGTTTTATTCACTAAATACGAGTAAAAACATGGACCCGTTTGGCTAACCACTGCTTACAGGGTGGGCTCCACACCTCTGCACCACCGTAGGCACGTAAGCGTGGTCAGAAAAACACCCATAAAATAAAACGTAGCTTACCCGTGCCGGGTTTGGGTCCGCTCCATATTCCCTAACCACAGCCAAGCGGCGTGTGTCCCGCCAGATTAACAAAACAATAGTCGTAGCGATCCAAGAGGAAAAACCAAACTGCTCTCGGACAGAACTGAGTAAGTGCAGCCCTAGCAGGGAACTAACTACAAATGACTAGTTTTATCTCGTCTGACTAGTAAAGGGTTAGCTAAACAACTAGCCTTTACTGTTCAGCACGCTGATGACTGGTGAGATGGAACAGATTTCCCAGCATTCCTAAATGAAGCTAAATAAATGAAATGTTTAGTCACAGCTTAAGTGTTGCTGATGAAGTATTAGTGGTGAGCCAGAGACCCAGGTAGTGGTACAGAGAGGCTTAATACCAACTTCCATTGTCTGGTACTTCTGTCGAGCAGAAGCACGTAAAACTTCAGTTTTAGGAAAATAAGTGCAACAGGTTTTTAACGGGGTTGGACCTGAATTCCCAACTAACGTAAGTGTTAGGGACAAATCTCTCAATTCTAAGCATTGGTGGGGACATGTCCCCTTTTCATGGTTAGTCGCATATGGTCTGACAAACATCAAGTCTCTGAGCGAGTGACCACATTATATGCACCTCAGCCCCTCCCTCTTGCAGTTGTTTTGCACCCAGCTAGGGTTTAGTTCCATAATTGGTCTGGTCTTGCTTTGGCCCCTTCCTAAACCAGCCAGGCGGCTTCATCATCTTGTCCACCAGCCGGACAAACCAGACACTTGGTATAAAACATTCCTCAAGGACCTTAAGGGCAACTGAAACTCAGAGGTGAATTTCCTCATCGACACAACCCCCAAACCTGTTTTTGGCTGCATTCATGCATTTTCCTGTATCAGCTGCAAATAGAGTTTTACTTTAAAAATTCAGAAAACGCCTGAATGAAAACTACTTATGTCATCAGGCGTTTCTCCTCTGCCTGAAGCTGGTGGTCTCGGTTCTGAAACCTGGATGTCCTATAGATATTCTGACAAATTACGTCTGCATGGGGGTCAAAACACCGCTGTAAAAGCCAGGAGTCCTGTCTACAAAGACTTGTGTAGTAGCCAGCACAGGACATGCCTGTTAGGTGTCCGTTGTTCTGTAACCGACTTGTCCGGTGGTTGGAGTGCCAGGCTGGCGTGTCGTTTTGTGCCGGTTTGTCCATCGGTGTCGGCATTAACTTTATTCGTTTTGTTAGCTACACTTGCCAGTGTGATGTTTTCAACCTTTTATTAGTAAACTGTTTAAAATATAAGGACTAAAAGGTAAATCAACTAAAATGCTGCTTGGAAATGAGCAAATTCAAAGATGTTTAGAGACACAAAGTATTTTTGCAGAAACTACCATACTGACCCGGATATAAGACGAGGATTTTTTCATTGAAAATAATTTTAAAATGTGGGGTCGTTTTATAATCTGGGTCTAAGCATCTACACATGCTGCTACTTGTCTGGGGTCATTACACGCCTGTACAGCAGAGGGCGCCAAGCTTTGCGTTCTCAATAGGAGAAAAAATGGGGACGAGAGGTCCGGAGTAGAGTGGACCGAAAGTGGGGCTACTAAGGCAGACTTATGCGAATTTTAAGATAACGATGGTCAGGTCAGCAGAGGCGTCAAACATTGCATGCATGGATGCCTTGGATGGCAGTGAGGATGACGTTCTGGGAGGAGCCGGCAGGACAGGTGTAGCGATCTGATGGTACACTGGGACCGCAGCTGCATGAGAGATAGTGAGTACAGTGAGTAGTGATGTGTCGGTCGCGAACGAACCGACTCTAAGAGCCGGCTCTATGAAGGGAACGACGGGAGCCGGCTCGTCATTGGGAGCCGTCCCCTCCCCCCTCCCCTCTTGCTTTGGTGAAAGCTACAGGCGATTGGTCGACATGTGTAACTGTGTGTCCAGACTGTCCACACACAGAGCAGTAGGGGCGGGGAAGAGGGAGGATCAGACTCAGACACACAGCAGAGCACAGGCGGGCGGAGGGAGACGAGAGGGAATGAGGAGGAGGAAAAAGGCGAGCGAGAGAGAGGAGAGTCCCACGAAGGCGGAGAGAAAATGAGCGACAGCAGTCGGAAAATTGAGATTTCTTAAGTGTTCAGTTATTAAATCCATATAAATGATAAATATTTGATATATTGCTTTTTTTACATTAGTAAATCATTTTACATATAGTTTTGCATTATTCTGGTGATAATTGTACTCTACGCAACAGAAAATCTGAGGAGCCACTTGGAAGCCGAGTGAGCTGAGCCAAAAGAACCGGAATTCCCATCACTAACAGTGAGGCAGAAGGCGTCTGAATAGGGCTTGTGATCACACGTGATTACGCATAGCATTCTGGGATGTGCGCGGCCGTTTTGGAAGGTTGACGAGTGTAAACAGACCGTGACACTAATGGTACTGTCGCAGAGAAGAAGTGGATTTGGGTGAAAGAAAGTGTTAAACGACATTATAAAATCCCAAAAAGGATGCGGAATACACAGGGATACGTTATATAAAGACGTTGGGGACCGGTATGAGGACAAAATCAGCGTTATAAATGGTTTTGATCCATATGAAAAACCCAAGACCGGGGCACTGATATTGGGATATTGTTGCCGCTGCAGTTCTGCATAACGGACATTTTCAGCTTTCTTGTTTGTGGTGTGAGCGGATGTAAACATCCGGATGAGAGGTAAACGTTTTATTTGTTGGTTTTTCTAGTAAACGATCAAAATTGTTGTCCCACAGAAGAAGTGTAGCAGGAGAAGTTGTGTTGTGTGTCCGCTCGCCTGCATTAGCTCACCGGTGTGTGTGTGTGTGTCGCGGTTGAAGGAAAGAAACGATGTATAAAACGTACGCCATCTGTAACTTACCAGAATGAAAATACTCTGTCGCCTTACAGCAGCGATTCAAGCGAGCCGACGAGACTTTGTTAAGCTAGGTACTTGGTTTCCGTGGTTTTGCCTCCAAGCAGGAAAACAGTGAAAAGAGTTTGTTTTCCAGCTTTATTCTCCTGGTGATCACGTGTGTCACCCCACAACACAGCAGTGATTTACTAGAGTCGTGTAATATAACCAATCAAATGAATAATAGATTAATTTAAGCCGCAAGAACGAGACTGAGCGCGCTGTTTACAGTAGTAACAAGCAACAAGTTAGGACTCAGACGCCTCCAACAGGGCGGACGCTTCGGTGATGACGTCACGACCACAAGCCCTAAGAAAGCCTCATTTGACTTTTGAGTTCACGTGTCAGCAAAGTTCTGATAGTTTGCATTAAAATAGTATATTTGGTCAGTATTTGCTCTCAAATTTTCAATAAAAATAGTTTTATTTAAATAGTGATTTTTTTTTTTTTCCTGAAGATTAGTCTTGGAAAGGAGGGTCGTCTTATCGGGTCAACACGGTAATCAATAAAACTAAAATATAAAACAATCAAATCTGCTTCGGCTGGCTAAATAATTACTGCCGACATCAGCGGGAGTTGAACCAGCGTCAGCACATGTCAAAACAGGCTTTAGCCACTGGACTACCAAGGCCCATACAACAGCAGGCATGCTGGAGGTGTGCTTTGTCGGAGCGGCCGTGGGCGGTGTTAGCGCTCAATCGGACCGTTTCATTTCCAGGACTAAGTTCAGGCTGACGACAGTCATCATCATCATCATCATCATTTGTATTTGTGACGTGCTTTCCATCGACAAGAAGGTGAACCAAAGCGCTGTACATGCATAAAAGAATTGAAAAACAACACTGACTCATACTTGATGCTTTGCTGCACAACAGTGAAGTTAGGTTGGAGGTTTATTCTACTGCACTAACCTAGTTTATGCTTCTGCGTCGCTACGGAGACACACAACACCATTATCCATCCTTGCGAGCCTGCTGGAGCCTGGACGGAGTCAAGCCCACTTTTCTAAACATCCGTCGAACGAGACTGAGAATGCAAGCGTGTGATTTGTCAGGACGGCGCTTTTGTCAACAGCACCAACATTGCCCCCTCAAAAACAAAGATATCTGGCGGCAGATATGGAGCAGATTGACAAATAGGTTGCAGAAAAACTCTAAAAAACATGAACATTTATTCCCCCGTGACTGGAGAAGAAGAAAGATGCGCAACAAGCGTTTTATTTGTGGACGAAAATGACAGGAAACGTGAGTTTAGAGGTGGCAAGCGCATGAAGACGTGGAGGAGAATGAGGGGCAAATTTGTTCGTGTTAGAAAGCCTCTTAAATAAAAAAAAACACAATATAAACACACTATCTTGGACCGCATATGTTACAGGATACCACAGAACAGCGCTACGCCCTCTGGTGTCCTGGCGGGGAATTGCTTTGCAACACTCCCCAGGAGACGGAGAAGTATGATGGCAGAGAGCTTCCGTCAGTCCGTGTGTTTCTCTCCCTGGTGGAGCTGACGCTGAAGCATAACCCAAGCTTTACCCTCCCTCAGACCAGCGCAGCGCTGGCGTTGCACGTCCTCATTCGGGTCAGTCTCTCCGTGGTTTCTGTTTGTTTGAATCTGTGCTGTGTTTCTGTCACCAGGTGCAGGCGCTGTCTCAGAGCTGCAAGTTTGAGGCTGAGATTCGGGAGGAAAAAGAAGAACGCAAGAGGCAGGAGGTGGAGAAGAAGGAGCGGCAAGCTGCCTTCAAGCAGCTGCAGTCAAACTTCCACTCATGACCACTCCATCCTCACAAATCTGAGATGTAAACATTTAGCCTCACCTTCCACTCACACAGCACTCAGAGCGAGCTGCTGTCTAACAAAATAAAACACATGTATTCTCTAAATTCATTGGAGCGGGAGCAAAACCATGACTTATCTCCAGGAATCGTCTCCGTGCGTCGGTCTTCATCCCGAGACGATCTGAAATCATTTGTTTAGTGAATCCGTCGTGCTCTCTCTGTCTGGTCACGATCTGTGCCATGGATGTTCTGTGTTCTAAACGTGTTCATGTTTTACTGTGAGGTTCTTTAACTTAGCATAAACATCAGTGATGTTGCTGTGGTTCTGTCTGCTCTGACTTTAGCTTCCACCGGCGTTCCTGTTTCCTTCCGCGTGTTCCGCTCTGAAAACCAACACGTACCGTTTCACACGCCGTACAGGTGTTTTTGACTAAGGGCCACACATTTAAAGGAGATGATCTGTTCTTTATTTAGTTTTGATGTGATTAAACGAGACGGTTGATCTAAATTTCACATCTCAGTACAGAAGATCTTAGTGTTAGGGTTATACAAACCCTAATGTTAGCTCGTAGTTAGGAACATAGAACAGATAAACGGGTAAAATCATTAGTGTAGGATCTCCCCTGGAGCAGGTTAGACCCAATCCACCTTTCTTTACTTTACTACTGCTTATCGCTCCATTTTATGCATCTAAACGCTGTCACTGTAGGCCCAGTGGAGCCTGTTCTACCTTTATTCTCACTGTTTCTCGCTCTTCTTGCAGCTTGTAAATCAGAATATGAATGGCTGTGTGTGAGCAGGGATGACTAACGGTTGGCCCAGCGTCAGACGAGAAGGTGTTTGTAGGTTTGAATCAGGAAAGCTGGACTAGCCTAGAACGTGTCCTGTTCTGAACATCAAGGCTTGTGGCTCGACTCATTCTGTTGCTTGATTCTTGCAGAGAAATGATTGTTTCTTATAACATATCCTTAACTTGCTCCTGTTCTCTGCCTAAGTCCTTGTCAGCAGCACAGTAAATAATTACAAATACACAGTATTGTATAAATAACGAAGGAGCTTGTTCCTCTTATGGTGTTGGCCTGAGAGCATTTTACCTCGACTGTTGACGAGCCATCCTGTAAATCTGAGTAAACGTCACTTTTTAGAGCCTGTAAAATGACTGAGATGAGTTTATTTTCCTTGTGAAATGGCAGAATGTGTCCTGAAATCCTGCGTGGAGAGCCCGTGTCTGCTTTAGACCAATCATTGTGTGACTGTGAGCAGGCCCGGGATCAGATGATGGTCCTGCGGCGTTATTGTTGAAGGGTCCATGTCACTAAACCATCCTTATGGCTCAGATTTTCGTCATGCTGGGTTTAAGAAGCTGGTTGGTGTTGAGAGGTCTCAGATCTTTCTTATTTCAGACAGGAGCGACCACAAATCACAGACTTCCTATTGTTTTTGTAGACTTGATGGAGCGGGCTTTTCCGGAGGCGAAATAAAAAACCACCCAGAGGCAGTTTTCACTGTCTGAATAGTGCAAATCGGCCGTTTGATAGCTAAGCCCCCGTTCCATCTCCATGAAGACCTGCTACCCTCTGTGACTTGTTGAACATGGCTTGCATCATGATGCTCATGCGCCATTAAAAGAAAATGTATTTTTCTGTTATTTCCTGCATCCTTGAGTTGCTCTTATTTGTTCTTGCCAAACTCGACTCCAGCAGCCAGTTCCCACGCCGTTCCTCCATCACACACCAGTGATCACGCCATTCCTCCATCACACACCAGTGATCACGCCATTCCTCCATCACACACCAGTGATCACGCCATTCCTCGAGCCCGAGACGGGATTCTCCCGTCAGCATCGTGATTCTGCTGTGCTCTTAGTGCTCTTGTTCTGCTGTTTCCTGCTTCCCTGAGATATCCTCCACCCTCAAAGTCTTTAAACATCAGCATCATTTTCCCTCCAAGACCCCACCACGTGTGTGTTCGATCACACCTTGGCCTCAAACACGACTGCCAGTCTGCGTCACGATGCTGCTTTGGTCACTGTACCGGCCAATCATGGAGCTGTGACTGTCTATATATGAGCAGTACCGAACCACAGGCCTTTCCCCGGTGAGACTCAGAATTCAGCTAGAAGATCTGCCATGCAAGGGGGGGGGGGGGGGGGGGGGGGGGCTGGAGACTATAATTCTGTAATCTAGTGCTAATAAACTATAATTGGATATTATCTGGGCTCATGAGAATCCACAAAGACTTAGTTCCAAGTTGAATAAAACATCTCCTCGATAAGAAATCGTAGCATTTCACCGGCGGACGTCCCGAGCCTCAACAAATGCCAACCAAAACTTTGCTGACTGTCCAAAATAACATTCCATTTTTCTGATGTGCTCGTCATCTCTCTGTATTAAAAACCACATCTCATGAGCTGACTCGTATCCATGACTACTGCTGACTGAACACTGAACCGTTGCACTGAAAAGCCAGATGTTTGCAGGTCTCAGCAGGTTTTTGGACCTTCCTGAAAAGATGTTTATAGTCCTTCATAGAGCAGACACTTGGACTTGTCACATGACCGTATGGGTTGGAGCAATAATACTGCTGATGGCCGACTTCCCTTTAACGACAGCAAACAAGCATGGCGAGCTGCATGACCTCACCCTTTTGGAATGTGGCCATTGGTACATTTGTGTATTTTTTTTACTGATCTGTCACTATCCCAGCTAAAAGGGATCTATTTAAGTACAACAAACACGAGTCTGAAGCATGTAACAAGTGCTGTACTGTACCTGTAGCAATGTTTAGAGATGATACACGTGTCATATAACGAACTGCTCCATGTTTAGAGTGATGGACAAAACTGTATTTTTATGATGAACTATGGTCTACATAATAGTTAGATTTATTGGGTAGTTATTTGTTGCCAAATCTATAACGAGAAGTGAACTATATTTTTAGGCAGTTTCAACAGGCCGTGTGTTCCTCTGCTCCCTGTGAAACAGCAGCTTATAACTTTAATAAAAGTACTAAAAACACTCGATGGCATTCTTGTGAAATCATGCATATAAATCATAAAAACATTCATATTTCTTTATATTAAAGGGACACAGTCATTGTGATGTTCTTACTAAAAAGTAGTGTACCTCAAGTATATTATACCAAGTTCAGAAAAGTTATTTTTCCCCAAGAATATATTTATATTTCAAGTACACTTATACAAGTATACTAGCAGTTTACTAACAAGTACACTTCTTTGCACTAAACTGGCCCACTTTTAATTCATAAAAGTACACTGAAAGTATTCTTTCAGGTATATTTGTAATTTTTTTTTCGCACACATTTTTCATCCGTTGAGGATTTTTTTCTCCACATTGGTAAGGAGCAGTGCGCTGACATCTGAGCCACCGTTGGGGTTCAGCCTCTTACCCAGGGAAGCGTCGGCACGCGGGCTGCCGGTACTGGGAATCCATCCTTCTGGGTAAATGCTCGACCCGACCCATTCAGCTGCGGCTGCTCGAATAAGAATAACGAACATGATCAACCTAAACTAAGTCAATGGCATGATTTAGGTATACATTTGGTTAATGAAAACACTAAATATCAAATAAACCTTGGGGAAATGTTTTCGTCTCTGTGTAAGCTAAACATTGTACACTTACTAGAAGGAGTGAAATAAAATACTAAAGTATATCAGTTAAAAGTTTAAATATAAGTATGATCTAAATGTACTTAGTTTTAGTATACTTTGAGTAAAAGCCAAGTATAACATACACTTTGCAAAGTATACTTGCTAGTAAGTACACTAAGGTAAACTGAAAGTATACTCTTATTTTTAGTTTTTGGTAAGGGTTGTGATATTTTGGGTTTTAACTGCTACATTGCTGTTCCAGTTCTACTAAAATAACGGCTTTCTAATGCAGGACTCGGATGCACAAGTTGGATGTCAGAGCTTTTGAAAGACAATTCCAGAAGCTTAACGTTGGCCTGCTTCATGCAATCAGAAAGCAGTTCTGATGTGTTTTGAAGTCGTCGTCCAATTGGAACACTAACCTGTGTTAAAGTTTCAACCAGAGATGTGAACTCGAGTCACATGACTTGGACTTGAGTCATTATTTTAATGACTTCTGACTTGACTTGATAAAATCTATAAAGACTTACGACTTGACTCGGACTTGAATGCCAGTGACTTGCGAATTGAATCGACTTGCATCTGTTGACTTGATGATGACTTGAGCATATTTGATATTTTAGCACAAAGTGACACGACATGGACAAAAATCATGAATCGTTCTTGGTTCTGGCTTTGATCTTGTTCTGCTAAAAGCAGCAGCACTTTGTTTATGATCAGTTGCTCTTTCTGCTTGTTTGAGCAAATAAACAAAGCTTTATTTCTGGGATTTATTTATTGTCATTGTCATTAAATTGAAGTTGGACAGATGACTTGATTATGACTTGAAAATTTAAAGTAAAGCACTTGGACTTGACTTGGACTTCCAATTCAATGACTTTGGACTCGGCTTGGACTTGGTTGTCTTTGACTTGGACTTGACTCAAGACTTGACTGGAAAGACTTGTGACTTGCAAAGCAGTGACTTGGTCACACCTCTGGCTTCTGAAGAACGTAGAGATAGTCCGTTGTTTCTTTGTCAAGTACACCAGAACCACAGCATGGTGCTGTTACGATCCCTGGTTTCTTGCCTCTAGAACAGCCTGTACTTAGTTTTGTTTTGTCCGAGTGTACAGCCCAGCTCTCCATATTCTTCAGCCTGCAGCCCAGGGGATTCAACTGGCTTTGGTCCTGGTTCCTCCACCATCACCTGGGATCAGCTGGGAGTCATCCAGCTGCTGGGTGGCTTCTAATAGACTTCCTGGTCTGCCTGCAGTTGGGGAGCCGCTGATGGTGTGCTGTTTCCCCCCACTTGGTCAGCTTTGTTGGAACTTTGTGCCGTTAGACCACTGTGGAGGATTACTAGTGTGATAGTGTTGCTTAGAAGCTTGGTTAGACTTAGAGGTGGATTGTGTAGAGAGTTAAAGCTCCTCTGGTTGGATTTAGGGATAGTAAATGCTATTGCCCTCTTTCAATTGAAGTCCTTCTGAGACTCTTTTGTGTTTGGTACATTCTCAGCTATGAGCACTTTAAGTGAATATTGTGAATGCCCTGTTTGTTTGGTAAGGTTTTTCTCTGTTAGTATTTATCTGTATATCATACGTTTGTTTATCTGCTGTTTTTCTTTATTAAATGCATGCACTCCTCCCATTTCATCTGGTTTATGTTACCTCCTGACCTTCCTAGCACAGCCATGACGTAACAGATGCTACCACCACCATGCTGGACAGTTGGTTAAGCGTTTCTAGATCTGAAGGGCTCGGTGGTGACCAAACAGCTCAACCTTTGTTACATCGGACCACCAAACCTTTCTCGGTGTGGACTGCTGCAGATCCCACTTACATTCTAAAGCAGGGGTGGGCAATCCCAGTCCTCGAGGGCCGCTGTCCAGCAGGTTTTACTTGTTTCTCTGCTTAAACACACCTGGTTTGAATCTACTAGTGATTAACAGGCTGCTGCAGAGCCTGAGGTGTGTTGAGGCAGGTAAACAACTAAAACCTGCTGGATAGCAGCCCTCGAGGACCAGGATTGCCCACCCCTGTTCTAAAGTGTTTCTTTTGTGTAAGGAGCTTTGTTCTTGGTCTCTGTCCTTGTTGTCCATAGAGATGTTTACCTGGCTCTATTGTGGACAGAGACACTAGTGTTCCAGCAGGTTCCAGTAGGCCTGAGCCTGGTGGGTTCAATTCAATTCAAGTTTATTTATATAGCGCTAAATCATGACAAGAGTCATCTCAAGGCACTTCACACAGTAAACATTCCAATACAGGTCAGTTCATTAAGCCAATCAGATAAAAGTTTCCTACATAAGGAACCCAGCAAATTCATCAATTTCAGGTTGTTCCTGAACATCCTGACAGGTTTACTTTCATCTGAAGTTGACAGATGTGTTTTGGTCATTTCAGTAAGTGATTTCAAATAAATCATGTTGCAATGAGGAACCACCTGCATCGAGTCATGTTAAAGACAGTCTATAACCTTCAGCACCAGCTGTTGTGAAATAATGAAAATGTTAAGAGATGATCTACAATAATTCTAACTTGTGCACCCAATTCTTACTAAAATGGTTGGTAAGGAATGATCAAACAAACAAAATGCCCAGGAGTGTGTTCATTTAGGATTGGGATTGCTTTCACAACAGTAACACTATAATGTATTTTGTGCTAAATTGAGTAAAACTTTAAATGGAGAACACACAAAGCCTGATAAAGAATGTGTTGTTTGGATTTTTTGCGGCTACAAGCAGCCAAAATGGGTTTTCTCCACAGGGTGTCTGGGTTGTCCCCTAGAGATAGGGTGAGAAGCTCAGTCATCCGGGAGGGGCTCGGAGTAGATCTGCTGCTCCTCCACATCAAGAAGAGCCAGTTAAGATGGCTCAGGCATTTGATTAGGATGCCTCCTGGACGCTTCCCTGGTGAGGTTTTCCAGGCACATCCAACCGGGAGGAGGCCTAAAGGGAGACCCAGGACACGCTGGAGAGACGAGGGCTGTGTCCGAATCCAGAGGCAGGATGCTTGTGAGTGCGCATTTTGAGGTCGATTACGTCACAGCGCGGCGACGAGTACTGTCCGAATTCCAAGTATCCTCATTCTCGCGTCCTCAAACGCGTCCTCGCTCCACCCACATTTCGAGGATGGGTCTGATGGATCCTCGCAGGAGCAAGGGTATCCCAGCATGCTTTGCACGCCGGCCACTGGTCGCGACACTCTCAACAATGGCGGACGGAGCAGGAGAGCAGTACAGCTTCAAATGTAAGTTATTAAATAAAATAGCGGTCAAAAACATAAAATACGTGTTTGGCCATTAGTGGTTTATTTTGTATATAAGATCTAATACCGCAAATTGTACATTTCATGTAATTTAAGGCTAAAACATGCCCCACCGTAGCTTAATCCCAGCTGGCAATCCTGTTAAAAAATACAATAGCGGCAGAAAACTAAGCTGAAAGCGGTTCTGTTTATAGACAATTGTCATTTGTATAAAGTACATTTCAAGCAGAAATCAGTGAGAACGAGCTTGTATGGTGGTCCCGTCATAATTCTCGTTTGTGTGTGTTTATTTAGTGAATAACGCTTCTCATCAGTTGTTAATAGGTTAACACCCCACTGTAACCTTGCTTGAATGTTTAATAGGAAGAATCTCACCGTAAAAGAGCTTGCATGTTATTAGATCATGTAATGAACGCCAAAACTAACGAAAACTAATTTGTATGTTTATTCCAGTTAATTTGTAAGAAACCACATTACTGATTCTTTGTTTTAATTTCATTTTAGGTGGAAAAGAAACTCACTGTGAACTAGCGTGACTGTCTCATCGCTAATATATAAATATCTTTTGTGCCAGGGACACCAGAACAAACCACCACCCTCATCAAATTGAGAGGGCAAAACGATGCCCTCTTCACTGGTGCTAAGAATTCTGCCACGGTGGCATGGAGGTACAGAAGTAAATCCATTACACATTATATGAGCATGGTATTTCCATCTATGTTCTGCTGTGAAAGGTACAGTTCACCATTATTTTATTAATGAAGTTGACATGTTTCCATTCTGCTATTGTTATCCTCATCATCTATTTAGGATGATCCTGGAGAAGATGGGCCTGCAGGGGAAAATCACCCCTTTGCAGGCCAAAAAAAAAATGGGACAACCTAAAAATGAAGTACAAAGTATGCACATGTGTGGTACAGATGACAATATCCATCTCCCATGTTGATAAATTAAAATATTGTTTATTGCATGTTTTATCAGCTATGGTCTATAATCTTGACTTCGTTCTTCTATTCCTCTCTATTCCCTTACTCTTCCAGAACCTGTACCTTTGGGGAGCACCTGTAATTCCATTATGCCCACAGTGGTCTCTGTTGTTAAATGACAATAAAGCCTTGTAACACCAATTTCCTTTGTCTGTAGGACTGCAAGTATCCAGGGT